ATACTATTTAAAAGAGAGAGGGAAGCCCTGGATTCCCACACCTACCTGCTGCAGGGGCGCCCTGGGCTGGGTGCAGCAGGATGAAGCTGAGGCACCCTAAAGATGCCGGGTCCCCCCGGCTGCTCTGAGCCCCCCGAGCTCCCCACGCCCCCGTGAAGACAGACTGAGACCCAGTGCTGGGTGCTGCTGCCATTCCCAGGCCAGGAGCCACCCTGGGTGCAGGATGGAGAGCAGGGATGGCACACGGGTGGGAGCTCCCCACCCATCAGCATCCCTGGAGGCAGCACCCACCGTGCCTTAACCCCCTCCCCCACCGTCCTCCCGCAAACCAGCCGAGCCTGGGATACAGAACAAAATCCCACCTTCCCGATAATGCCTTTTATTGGACTAGGTGACACGCAGCTTTAGGGGGATAGCGGGAGAATCCTCTCGGCTGATCCGCAGAAAGGATTTCCACAGCCCTGGCGGCGGCTTGGCAGCCCCTGAGCGGTTCTTACCTCCGAGCAGGGCTGTGCCTGGGGGGCTCAGCGCCCGCCCTGCCCCTCTTGGCTGCTTACACAGATTATTCCACTCGGAATAAGCTCCGCGGAGCGCTGCTGCCATCGCATCAGACAGCGGCTAATCAGAAAATTAGCAGCTAAAGAAACTTTGTGGCAGGAATTTATCTCCGGCGCTGCTCCCGCACCCAGTCCTCAGGGTAAAACTTCCTTGGATTGCAGCGCTGAAAGCTGGGAAAAATCATCTCATCCCACCCTGCCGTGGCAGGGACACCTCCCACTGTCGCAGCCCCAGTGTCCAGCCTGGCCTTGGGCACTGCCAGGGATCCAGGGGCAGCCACAGCTGCTCTGGGCACCTGTGCCAGGGCTGCCCACCCTCCCAGGGAACAATTCCTAATTCCCAATATCCCATCCATCCCTGCCCTCTGGCAGTGGGAGCCATTCCCTGTGTCCTGTCCCTCCATCTCTTGTCAATTCTCTCTCTCCAGGTTTCCTGTGGCTCCTTCAGGCCCTGCAAGGCCACCCTGAGCTCAGCCCAAAGCTTCTCCTCTGCAGGTGAACAATCCCAGCTGTGCCAGCCTTTCCTGCCAGCAGAGCTGCTCCATCCTCTGCTCATCCTGGAGCCTCCTCTGGCCTGGCTCCAGCAGCTCCAGCTCCTCCCTGTGCTGGGACAGGGCTGGGGCAGCTCTGCAGCTGGGGGCTCACCTGAGCACAGGGACAGAATCCCCCCAGCCCTGATGTGGGATCAGCCCTGGGATTGGGGGTTCAGGGCTGGGGCAGGTCCAGCTCCCACCCCCAGCACCCCCAGGTCCTTCTCCCAGCGCTGCCCCAGTGCTCATCCCAGCAGGGAGTGACCCCAGGGCTGTCCCCACCCAGGGGCAGCGCCAGCACTGGGTGTTGTTAAACCTCCTGGGCCACTCCTCGGCCTTGTCCAGGTCACCGTGGCCACTCCGGGGCACCTCGGGCCCCCTCCCAGCCCCGGCTGAGGGGTGTGTCCCCAGTGATGCCACCTCAGACAGTGGCGGTGTCCCTCCTGTGCTGGTGTGACATCAGTCCCCGCGCCGCGGTGGCACCTCGGGGAGCAGTGCTGGACACCAGTGCCACCCCCGTGCCAGGGGGCAGGGCCAGGAGGCGCGTTGGGGGCAGGAAGCTCTCGGGGTGATTAAAATGCGCTGTTTGTGGTGTTCAAGCCCCGGCGTCAGGGAGAGTTACAGGGCACTGAGCTAGAAAATGGCATTTGCAGCCCGCTCCCCCTGCCAGCCCCGGCCTGTGCAGACTTCATTAGTGCCACGAGCGTGTCCAGCGAGGGGACACACAGAGGGACACCCCTCCCCACCGCCCCCAGCCCCACAGGCCCTCTGTGGGGTGTCCCACCAGCCAGAGGGTGAGGGCTGGGATCCTTCCTGCCACCCCCAGCCCCACAGCCCCTCCCTGGGACCCCAAACACAGCAAGAAAGGGGAGGGCAGGGACCCCTCCCCACTGCCCCCAGCCCCTCTGTGGTGCCCCAAATGCAGTCACATCCCAGCTCGGGGCTGCCTGAGCCCCGTTGGTGGCACTGGGGCGGGTCACAGGGCTGTGCCGATGTCCCCGTGCCCCTGCCCGGTGCTGGGCAATGCCAGCAGCCCCCGGTGGCCACTGCCACAGCCCCAGCTCGGGCAGGGTCGCTCCAGCCGTAGCAACAGTTACTACGATTTCCTTTTCCCGTTCCCTTTTCCCGACTCCATCGTCTTCCCAAGGCGGCTCTGGCGCTGCCGGGGATGTGTTTACAGGCAATTAAAGCTCATTAATTGCGCGCAGAAGCAACAGAAGCCCCGCGGCAATGTGGGAGGGGTGAGTCCCTCAGGGGACAGAGCCAGCCTCGGCCATCCCTGGCTGGAATTCTTTGGAATTATCATCCAAAGAACGAACCCATCCCTCTGCTGACAGGGCTGCAGCATCTTCCCCTTTCCAGGTCACACAGGATACCCCTTCCCCTCCTCCCCTTGCTCCGCTCCTGGTGCCAGGTGCTCTGTGTGCCCCATTTGTGCCCCAGTGCGGTGGCACCGCTGTCTCAGTTGGGGACAGAGCCTCTCTTGTCCCTCCTGTCGTGCACCCTGCAGGCTGACAGCTTGCACGCCTTGCACAAGCACTGCCACCTTGCACACCCCTGCTCTCTGGCCGCCCTCACACCCTGCCCAGGGCACTCACACCTTCCACATCCCACCCCACACACCTCCCACCATCTCACTGCCGTGGGTGCTCTGCATTCCCGTGGCCCTGCACTGCCCCACCTGCGTGTCCCTTTCTCCCTGGCACCCTCCCTGGAGCTCCCAGAAGAACATTTACCTGCGTGTCCCTTTCTCCCTGGCACATCCAGAGGGATGTGGGGGGCGAGCGGGGTCTGCACCCCCTGGGCGAGGCAGGGCTGAGCCTGACCCGGGGCCATGGGCGATGTCCGTGGGTGCTGTGATGGGTGTCACCTGCTCGGCAGCCCTGTGGGGACATTAACCCGGGCACCGAGTGCTGCCAGCACCAAACTGAGGGGCAGAGGGGTGATGCCCGCCGCTGCCTCCTCCTCCTCCGGGGGTGCCACCCCACGTTCCCTGCTCCAGCCCCACGTTCCCTGCTCCAGCCCATCGCCCCGGGGATGAATTCCGGCAGGAGGGAGCGGGGCAGGATCCTGCCCGAGGCTCTCCCCGCAGTCTCTGAGCAGAGCTGGCACCGGCAGGGCCCGAGCTGCTCCCGAGCTCGGGAGAACATCGGGCAGACAATAGCGCTCGTTAGCAGGAGGGGAAAAACCTTCCGAGGGCTGAAATGAGGATTTGATTGCGAACAGATGCGGCAGCGAAGGTACCGGCACGGATCGGGCATGGGGCCAGCCTCCAGCCCCCCCTGCTCCTCGGGGAGGGGAGGGGAGGGGAGGGGAGGGAAGGGAAGGGAAGGGCTCTGTGGGGTCCTGCACGCTGGGCTGGCCAGCTGGGTGTGCCCCTAACCCTACAGGACACACCTGGTGAGGACAAACCTCCCTCAGCACCTCACCCTCCCCCTGGGCTGGGCTGGGCTGGGGGTGCCCCCAGCAGCCTGGGGACAGTGACAAGTGGTGGGGAAGGGAAGGGTCCCTTGCCCCAGGGTTGCTGGGGTGCCCTGGTGGGGAGCAGGTGAAGTGTAGAACAGCCAGGGATGCACCCGGCTGCCGGACACGGGCTGTGGGATCCAGCCCTGGTGCCAGGGGCAGCCAGGATCCCGTGGCATTCCCAGAGGGATGATCTGGCTCTGGCTGCCGGGGGGTCATGCCAAGGGTGCCCTGCCCTCCAGGCAGGAGCTGTGAGGCCAGGATTTCTCCTGCCAGGAGGGATGTGGTGCTGCGTGTGAGGCTGAGCCCTGTGCCCCACACGCTGCTGCAGGACCAGCACAAAAATGCAGGGAAAATCCTGGGGTGGCGTCCAGCTCATCTTCCTCCTCTTCCTCCTCTAGCGCTGGGCCCAGCAGGACAAACTGACAGCTCTGCCAGGCTGAGGCCAAGGGCGCAGCTCAAAATAGAGACTAATCATGCTGCTGCTGCTGAGATGCTGTGCCCTGCTGCCCACGGAGAGCCCGGCGTGCGTGGATCTGGGCCCCACGGTGCTGGCAGAGGTGCCTGGGGGTGCGGTGCTGTCAGCAGGAGATGGAGAGTGGCTCAGCAGGGCCTGACCCTGTGCCAGCCCTCCCTCCTTCCTCCTCCGACTCTCTTTCCCTGCAGGGTTGTGACGGAGGCTACAGGAGGGGTGTGGAGTTGCCCACATTCCTGATCCCTGATTCCCATTCCCTGCTGGATCTGGGCTCAGGAATGTCCTGGGGGATAAGAGAGCACCACGCTGCCCTTGGGAAGCCCAAGATTCCCCCAACAAGACCTGCAGAGGGTCCTCACCCCCCTGTGAGGCAGCACAAGCCTCTTCCCCTCCCAATGCCAGCTCCCAAGGCTGGGAGGCAGCCGTGCCCTCATTCCTGGGCGGGGATGCAGCAGGGTGGAAGGGATGCAGAGCTCCCCTGGCGAGGCTGCAGACACCCACCCAAGCCCAGGGGACCCCACGCTGCTCGGGGGGACACAGGGCTGTGTGGGGGGCGCTGCCAGGACCCAGCTGGGGGTGACAGGATCAATACTCACGTGAGCCAGAGAATCCCAGCACCCCAGGGAGGGCGAAGGGCTCCGTCCTCCTCTCCCCTGGCTCGGTGGCAGCAGCACCAGAACCTCTGGAAGCCGCTTGGCCCCGTTTAACCCTTTCCTGGCAGGGCTGCTTCCAGCGGGCCGGGTCTCCCCGCGCCCCCCGCCCGCGGCTCCGGCGGGAGGCAATCGGCAGGCGCGCGCTGCGGAGCGGCGCTTTTCTTCTCTAATCTTCTTATTTCATTTTAGCATTTACAATACAGCCAGCCGGTAATCCTGACATCAAACACGCCACGCGCGCTTTCAAGCCGCGCCGACGTCAGGCTGCGCCAGCGCTGGCAGGAGCTGCCAGCTCCGACGGCTCCAGATAACGCAGAGACAAGGAAAGCGGCTCTGCCAGCGGGATGAGCGGGCACCGCGGCCCCCAGAGCCCCCAGACCACCCACAAGGTGCCCCTCGGGTGCAGGAGCCACGCTGGGGTGAGCTGGGGGCAGGTTTGGTCTCTAGCGAGGGGTTGGAGTCACTCAGAGAGGCAGGGCTGGGTGACCCTGGTGGTGCCCACTCGTCCACTTCCCCTTGCCCTGGGGCTGCACGGAGCTCTGGCACCCCGGGGAGCAGAGCTGGACACCTTTAGGTGCTCCCAGGGGCCATCCCAGTGTTCGAGGCTCTTCCCAGTCTCCACCTCACTGGAGCATCCTTTGGTTTCCAGGCTGGGCTGTGGGTCTCAGATTCAGTCAAAGAGAGAAATGGAGAGTTTCTAGCCAGGCAGAAGCCTGGGAAAGAGCTGGAGAAGAATGTAAATAATTCTTTATCTCTCTTGTTTTCACATTGTTTATAGTTAAGTTCTATCACTGTGCATCAGGCACTTTGCACCAGTGCAGTGGGATGTTTTCACCAATGGAGTTGGGCCTCACAAAGCTCTGTATAAAAGAGTGGGGTATTTTCAATAAATCAGAGTTTTACTTTCACAGCCTTCTGAATCAAGTCTCTTCATTCCCGTCCTGCCTCGACAGCGACACTGGGGTTCCTGGGGAATCCACCTGGAATGCTGGAATGTGCCCCCTCCCCAGCAGGAGGGCAGGGCTTGGCACGGGGGACAGCGTGTGGCACCCAACACCCACAGGCAGCTCCTTGTGGGGTGCCCTGGGCTGCAGGCACAGACCCAAGGGCTGGACAGCCCACGGTGCCCGTGAGTCCCTTTCCCCGATGCCATCAGCAGCTCCTCTTTGACAGGCACCAGCTGCTGGCACAGGAATTCCTGAGGCTGGGCAGGCCCTGGCACAGGGTGCCCAGAGCAGCTGTGCCAGCCCTGGATCCCGGCAGTGCCCAAGGCCAGGCTGGAATTGGAGCTTGGAGCAGCCTGGGATGGTGGAAGTGTCCCTGCTTGGTGGAAGGAGATGAACTTTGACCTGCCTTCCAACCCAAACCGGATCATTCTGGGATTCTGTGCACCACTTCCCCGCTCCCGCTGCAGTGACTCAGATCCAGCAGCCTTTGCAGAGTCTCTGGGGTGGCTTTGCTTTCCCAGCCCGGTGTCCTGAACGGATTTCCAGCTGCTGGGAGATTCCCGGAGTTTCCTTGGAGCTGAAATGTTGCACAGGGCTGGATCAGGGGAGGAGCATGAAGGGTGAGAGAGGCAGAAAATGATGAGCCCCTCTCAGGCCCTGCTGAGGATGGGACCCCTGCTTGGATCCCTCTCATGGCAGCTCTTGAGGGCACCCCGAGGCCCAGTGAGGCTTTTCCCTGTGCCAGGGCGGTGTCCTGTGCCCACATGGCTTCGCCATCCTCTTCCTCAGCCCATGGAGGAGGAAGGAGCCCAACAAGCACAGGCCCTGCCTGGCGCTGGCAGCACCAGGGGATGTGAGGAATGAGCAGCAGGAGAAGGACTCGTGTCCCCATGCCAACCTCAGAGCTCCCCCTTGCTCTGTGCCAGGTGGGCACCGGTTCTGCTGTGGGGTCATCTCCCGCAGAACAGCCTCAAGTCTAATCCATGTCTCAATATTTAGGATTTAATCAGCACTGAAATAAGTAGTTTCTTTTTTTTTTTTTTTTTTTTTTTCCCTCTTTTAAGGCAGCGAAGAGCTGCGACTCAATAGGAATTAATTTGCCTAATTAGTGTCTTTGGGAAGCTCTCCCTCCCGCGCATGCCCCACGGGGGAGATTCCAGGGCTGGGGATGCTCTGCGGAGGCTGTGGAGCTGCCCAGGATCCTTCCCGCACCTCTCCCGCCGCTCCGGACAGCGCTGCCCGCATCCCGCAGGATCCCGCCAACATCGGGGGGTGCCCACGGCCGCCTGGCACCCCGGGCACTGCCGGGTGGGCACGGGGCGGGGGCCGGCCCGGGGGTGCGGGAGCGGGCGGCTGCCAGGGAAGATGAATGGTTTTAATCACACCGCTTACAGGGGCACCATCTGAAGTTTCGTGTAAGTTATGATAGCGACAGTTTGCACGAAAATTGTATTTCCAGGCTTCATTGACTGGCTTAATGAGAATCTTTACGTGTCAGATATTAAATTAAGAAATTAAAGAGCTGTTTCGGTGTGTATAGACTCCTTCCCTCGCACTGAGCTGCTCCTTCCAGATCAATCAGGAACGCGCCTCTAGAAAAGATGGGAGAAGCCTTTGATTTTCTGTCACCGGGGAAGTGAATCTAATACGCGTTGGCACCTAATTCATGTTTTATTAAAAGGCATGAGGTGGATGCTGCCGGCCCCCGCCTCTGCCCGCTGCCCTCTCCCGGAGGAGGGAGCAGCCCCGGCACCACCACGCTCAGCTCTGGGTGCTGCCTGGCTGTCACAGTGTCCCAAATGCCAGCATCAGGGGCTGGGGACACCAGGAGGTGCCAGGCACTGGCTGTGCTAGCCAGAGATTAAGGTCAGCTTGGAAGAAGCCACGCTGGAATCAGCAGGTTGGAAAATGTTGCTGTTCTCCTGTGTGGCATCCCTGTTTCCTCCCCGTGCTGGCTGAGTGTGACCTGAATTCCCTGATCCTTCGGGTCTCTTCCCTCTGATTTTGCTGGGAATGGGTACTGGGCCAGCAGGGAAGTCCCCAGCTGGAATGGGGACGATGTCACAGCCGTGGGGTGGCCAGAGGAGCAGGGCTGGGCACGGACAGGCCCTTGGGCACGGTGAGCTGGATGGGGCAGAGGATCCCTGAATGCCGTGGCACTGGAGATAAACACCTGGCACAGGGATGTGGAGAGTAACCCCGAGATCAGGGAGCCCAGGGATCGATGTCCCAAGGCAGGGACACCCAGGGACAGCAGGGATCAATGCCTCAGGTGGGGACAGCCAGGGACACCAGGGATAGGTGGCCCTGGATGGCCTCAGCCAGGGACACCAGGGATAAATCTCCCTGTTCAGAGGCACACAGGGACACTGGAGATAACCCCTGGAGCAGGGACACGCTGGGACAGTGCAGATACGCTGGGGACACCAGTCAGCTCAGTGAGAGTCCAGATGGGATGTGGCTGTGTTTCCTGATCCACCTGGACCTGCCACAGAGGACCCTGGGGACAATTTGGCCCCAGAAGAGGGACAGGAGCATCAGGCTTTCTTAGGATGCCTGGATGAGCCCCAAAATCCCTGGTGCTCAGCACGCCTGGGTGGAATC